TCATCCTCCACTTCTTGCCCACGGATCCTGGTCTTCATGATGCGTCTCCAGGCGGCTGAGCGTCGGCTTCGCTATCCATGGCGGCGCTCGGCACAAAAGGGCGGGGAGCGAACAAAAAAACTGAAGAAAAAAACATGCCACTCAAGAGTCAAATACAAGGGGAAGCCTGCCTGGCCCCCCGTGGGATCGGAGCCGCGCAGGCTCCGCTACCACTATGGAGTACATTGTAATAGCCATACGAAATACAGAGAGACACGATGTGGAAATGGAGGGGCCCGTGCTGTGAGAGAGAGAGAGAGAGGGACAGAGAGCGCGTTTTGTTTCCTTTTGCGGGGGTTCGCGCGCGCCCGCTGCCAGCGCGGCGCGCCACGCAACTCCATGGCCCTTGCGATCCGAGACGGCCGCGGGGCGGGGAGGTGAGTGCGAGGCGCAGGAGGAGGAGAGGCTGAATTGGGCATAGCAACCGCAAACAACAACGCCAACACCAACACCAACATCAACATCAACAACGATACAACATTTAAGACTGTTCGATGTTATCTGCTCGCGTGCCATGAAACACGGATATCCCGTACCCTCGACACGTACCCGCCCTCTTCGTCCTCGACCGTGCCCCCTTGGAGGTCTATCTTTCTCACTCGCAACGGGTATTTCGCGCAGCCCCTGAGGCGGGCGAAAAGAGGACGGATGAAAGGAATGACAACGGAGGAGGGAGAGGATGGAACACGGGCTATGAGCAGAAGACGCGCGGCAGAACCAAACGGGCAGGTCCAGCGGGTAGACGCTACCAGGCGGGTCGGGAAGGAAGGCTCAGGCGGCCAGGTCGAACAGGCGGGTTGCTCAAGCAAGCGTCCTGCATAATCGCGAGGATGTCTCGAGCGACAGCTCGATTCCCAAATCGTGAGGAAATCAACGGCGAGAGCGTGACTCCTGAATGTCGAGGGCGCGGCGTCTGTTTGAATTGAAAGAAAATCCCACGCGAGAGTGCGATTCCTGAGTGGATTGTAAGGAAGTCCCGTGCGAGAGCGCGATTGGGGAATATGTTGTGAGGACATGTCAGGCGGGAGCCGTTGTTGTTGTTGCGATTGAGCTCTCATTTCTGAAGAATAAATATTGTTGACCCCCCCGTCTGGTGCATATTGTTTTTTCGATTCAAATGCCCTCTCCCGGGCTCGCAGTCTGTTTCTTACCAGGGAAAGTCTGGAAGGTCAAACTGTGTCGTTGGCCCCCGGTTTACAACAACAGCGGCTCCCGCCTGAGACACCTTCACAATTTAGCCAGGACCCCCGGTCCCGGCCGAGACTTTCTCGTGTTTTACTCAGGAATCGCGCTCTCGCTTGGGACTTCCTTAGGATTTATTCTCCCAGCGCTCTGGAGTCGCGCTCTCGCTGGACGTGCTTGCAATTTACTGAAGAATAGCGCCCTTGCGTTGGAATTTCTTGCAATTTACCCAAGCGCCGCGCTCCCGACACCCAGGCACCCAGGAGTCGCGCTCACGCTTTGAACTCCCTCACAGATGACATAGGAATCGGGATCTCGCTGCCCTTCGTGGCCCCGTTGCAGCCTTTCGTGGCCCCCTCGCTTTGTTTCGTGACCCCGTTGCAGCCCTTCGTGGCCCCCTCGCTGCCCTTCGCGGCCCCGTTGCAGCCTCTCGTGGCCTCCTCGTTGCCCTTCGTGGCCCCGTTGCAGTCCTTCGTGGCCCCCTCGCTTTGTTTCGTAGCCCCGTTGCAGTCCTTCGTGGCCCCGTTGCAATTCTTCGTGGCCCCCTCGCTTTGCTTCGTGGCCCCCTTGCAGCCCTTCGTGGCCCCCTCGCTGCCCTTCGTGGCCCCGTTGCACCCCCTTGTGGCCCTCTCGCTGCCCTTCGTGGCCCCATATATGTATGCCCTTCGTGGTCCCCGCTCGTTCGCAACCGTGGTGGCCCCATATGCATCTGTCCTGCGTGCCCCAGTTGCTACCACAGTGGCCCCATCGTTGCCTTCTGTGGCCCCGCATTATCTGCCTTTCGTGGCCCCCGTTCCTTCGCGCTCTTCGTGGCCCCATACGCATTCCCTTCGTGTCCCCGCTGTTGCCCTTCGTGGCCTACTTCGTGTCCTTGTGGCCCTGCCGTCGTTCTCTTTCGCTCTAACTTTCGCTCGTCGTCGTCGTCGCCGTCGTCGTCGTCGCCGTCGTCGTCGACGTCGTCGTCGTTGTCGTCGTGGTCGGTCCCCTGTCCGTCCCTCTTGAGGTCGGGTCGACGGTCCGCGGCCGCCCCGCCGATCAGCGCTGCCGCTGGCCAGGCCGACGGTCCACGGCCGCCCCGCCGCTTGCCGGGGCCCCGCCTGCAGGGAAGAAAGGTATACCCCCCAAAGGGGTTCGATCGAAAACGAAGAGGGCGGGTATCGAGGGTTTGGGAAATAGGCGTCATTGGACACTCGAGCAGATAAGGGCTAACAGTTTTAAAATGATTGTTGTTGTAGTTGGGGGGCTGAACCTAATGACTTCCCTTAGTAAAAAACTAGGTGCGAGCCCTGGGGGAAGCACTTAAATTGAAAAACACAATGATCACCGGAGGGGGGAATCAACAATACTTATTCTTCAGTAGTGAGAGTTCAACAACAACCACAACCACAACCACAACCACAACCACAACCACAACCACAACCACAACCATAACAACAACAACGCCAACACCAACACCAACACCAACAACAACAACAAACAACGTCGTCGAATGTATGGGGAAGGGAGGGAAAGGTGGGAGGAGGACGTGGGCAGGGGGAAGGGGGAAGGGAGGAGGGAGGAGCGGATGAGGTCGGAGGATCGCGCTGCACCGCCGATGCATCGCCGATGTATCGGCTCTGCATCGGTGACGTCGGCGTGGACAACATCGGGTTTCACATCGAGCCGAACCGCCGATGCATCTGCGACGCGGTGCGACACTCCGACCCAGTCTACGTCTGAGAGGCCGAGACCTGCTGCTTCTATCCCAAGGTCCTGGGGGTGGAAGGATGACGGGCAACGATAGGGGAGGACTGGCATAAAGGGGGGACGCATCGACCTAGAATCGGCGACACATCGTCGACAGATCGGCGATGGGCCCCCGATGGCAAAACCGAACCTTCCTGGGCGGGCTGGGGCTGTCGGGCCCGCATCGGCGACCAATGGGCGAGTAGGGTTCGACGCGTCCCCCTCTATGCCTATCCCCCTGCGGTCATTGCCCCCGAAAGGAGGAGGGGGGGGGGGGGGGGGAGGGGGGGGGGGGGGGGAGGGGGGGGGCACCCGCCGAAGAAACAGGGGGCGGCCAGGAGCACGAAACGAACGAGAGAAAGGTCCCATGATCTGGAAGAGCAGCCGCGGGGCGCCGAGCGCGCCTGGACAGGTGCCCGTCGGTCGGAAGCGGTAGGCAGATCCATGAAGTAGGAAGGCATTGGACGTACTTTGGGCTTCTGCCCGCCCCCTGAAGAGGAGGGGAGAGGGGAAACCGCTCGACCCTTGACACAGGAGGGCGGCTGAAGCAGACTGTGACCTGGGCACCCAACACTGCCTACTTTCAACGACCGACGTGCGCTTGACCGCCATGGAGAAAGCAGCGGAAGAAGAGCCAGGAGGAGGAGGAGGAGGAGGAGGAGGAGGAGGAGGAGAAGGGAGGAGGAGGAGGAGGAGGAGGAGGAGGAGGAGGAGGAGGAGGAGGAGGAGGAGGAGGAGGAGGAGGAGAGGGAGGAAGGGAGGGAGGGAGGAGGGAGGGAGGAGGAGGAGGAGGAGGAGGAGGAGGGGGGAGAGAGGAGGAGGAATCTCACAGGTGAGGGCCGTCGGCCTCCGCAGTGCACGGCACGGGTCCGGAACCATGGCTGTCGGCGGTGCGGGCTCGGCCTGCCCTGGCCACGCGCTCCTCGCACGGCGGGCCCGGGTGGCACCAAGACGACTGCTACCCCCGACCGAGGAAGGATCAGGCCGTGCGGGGGGAGGATAAGAGAAAGTAAGGAGGAAGGAGGGATGAGGAGGGCGGAGGCGAAAGCAAGCGGGGGAGGAGGGTGCAGGGCTTGACGGGGTGGGGGAGGAGAGAGGGATGTAAGAGGCGGGAGAGAGAAGGGGGGATGCCGTAGGGGGGATGGAGGGGAGGGAGAAGCCTGGGAGGAAGTAGGAAGGAAGGGGGACGGGAGGGGATGGCAGAAGAGGTAAGGGGAAACGGACAAAAGGAGGGTGTGCGGGACGACGTGCAGACAAAATGATTACACTGATACTAAGCTGCTAACGGTACAGGGCAACCTGCTTTAAACGAATACTGAAAACCCATCTCTGCTGCAGCAAGTGTGAGACAATTACTGCACCCACCTCATATGTTATGTAACAAGCACCGCTCCCCCTCCCTTCTAGCCATACAATGATCTTGAGGGCGAACGAAGGAAGTCGGAGGAATTAAAGGGTAATGAAGCGCCTGCTTCACGGAAATGGCTTGCTCTGCAAATCTCGTGCACAGCCGTGCACCGTGTTGGCCCAGCCTTTGCTCCCAGGGGAAGAGGGCACAGTGCAAGAAGAGCTGGCCGCTCGACGAGGGTCACTTTGCCAGCAGCGGCTGGGGCACCCAGCTACTATCTTGCCGCCCCGAGCCTCATAATGCAATACTGGTGGGCTTCCTCCCACGACCAGCACTGCAGACCACGGTCTGCTGACCTATGGTGCTGCTTTGCCTGCCGTGCGAGGCACCGACCGCGCCCAGCAAACCACTATCATATGTCAGCCGCCCCTGGTTTGTAGTGGCGGCCGTCAAAAAAGAAGGCCACGGAATACACATGCCCGTCGACCATGCACCATGGACCACGGACAGGAAGACCTCCGTATCAAATGCTGCACGAGATCCGTGCAGCCACGCCTCCGAGATGGCGGAGATGGACAGGTCCCAGGCGTGGATTCGGCAGGGCCCGGCGGTCTCCGGCAATGCTCGGCGGTCTTCGGCGGTCTCCCGCGCGGAGCACGGATGGCTGCTCTCGACCAGGAGAGGTCAGGGCTGGGTGGGATCGTTTTTGGCGACGTGGCGGTTTCTCTGCACCCCGGGTGGCTCTTTTGTCGCGTTTACGGTGGGCTCCAGCTGATCACTGCATCAATGCTGTCAGGGCTGACCCCGTGACGCGGATGCTCGGGACACGCATCGAGAAGAGGTGAGCCGCCTCTGGGGGCGCTACTGGCTACGTTGCCTAGCATGGGCACCTGGCAGTTCCCTCGGTCCGGGTCGGACGCTCGATCGAAATCTCATCGCCAGCCTGCTAAATATCGTCCTAACCCCACCAGCCCTTCAGGGCGTGAGTGGTTCAGAGCGCTCCCTCTTCCAACCCCCTT